TACACACACACACAATTCAGACTTTCAGTTACTGGGTGCTTTCTGGCTCCCGGTTTCCACAGAAAAGTCAGGGTTTTGTTCCTTATTCCTTAAGTCCTTGTGCTGCTTATTTACATATGAAAAGGTAAGTTTATAAAAGAGCTTTCCTATTTTACTACATCTAATAGTTAATAATTTAAATCTGCAGCCATTATCATCATATAGATTGACACAAACGGCATATGGATCATTCTGGGGATGAGGGTTAGTTTCTTTTAAGAGAGAATTGTTTTAGTTTTTGCAGGAAATTAATCAGGGGAATGGGCTTTGTGGAGCATGGAGCAAATCTAATCTGTTCTTTGTTCAAATTTGCCTTGCTCCAATTCCTAGCAATTGTAGACAACATGCTCTTTTGTTCAGGAGCCACTTGTTACATGCATAATTAGAGACTGCAGTAGCTGTGTTTAAAGAAAAACTGTTTTCCAATGTAATGTGTGATCTTGATAATAGTATTTTCATCAAAGGTAGCAATTACATTCATTAAGCTGGGACTGGCAAGGCAGCGAGGAAATTAAGTGGAAGGTGAATAAAAAGCTCCCTGTTTCTTTTTAAAATCTCCATCTCTTTATAAGTTGAAATGCACCATGTTGAGCTGCAACTGGAAAATACATACTGGGTATAAAAAAAAGGAAAGAAAAAAAAAAATAAAGTCCTCCTTAACCTTTCTGAATAATGATCCAGAAGATATCCTAGGGACACCTACTATAGATGCACTTTTCAAATTAAAGGGCTTTATTCTGCATTAATTTCTTATGCAAGTTTTAAACGAGCTCAACATATGATTCAGGTCTTTAAAGGCTCCAGGGCTCTCTAGGATTAATTCACCGTTCTTTTCACACATAAATTAATTGTTTTGTGTTCTCAAAAACGGCAAACAGCACATAAATCAACCGGTTTAGAAGAGACACGAGGCTGGTACCTTTTGCAAATCACCCAAGTTGGCTATTTACACTTCATTACTATAATGTAACTATTAAAGGGAAAGCTGTAAAAGTAGGACATATGTTATTAATTCTAAACGGATTTCTTCAATGCATAACTCATTTTAGCAATTTGATTCCCTGAATGACAGAAGTTGTAGAGCCATTCTTCCAGCACTCCAATTATATTTTTTCCAGTTAATAATTCAATTAGACATCACTAATGTACGTGCAAACATTCCCACATTAGAAGTAGATAGTTCACCCAGCACCATTATTTTTGCCTAAAGCCCGGTGAGATTTGCAGATGGAAAAACATAAAAACCTAAGGGTGAGCTGTGGAGCAGCAGGAGGGCTGCATCCTGTCTGCAGGCTGCCCACAAGCACTCCTGCTGATGGAGCACACAGAAATCCCATTCTAGGGTTCCAAAATGTAATTCTGCTGTCTTCCAGGCACTGCACAGCAGGCTGAGAAGCAGGGGCGAGCAGGGTACTGCCTCTCATACCTTCACACAGCCAGGGCAGCACATTGCTGTCCTACTCACTGGGCAGAAGGCACAGCAAATTAGGTCTGCAGCCAAGACACTCCCTGGCAAGCAACCCTTTCATCAAGTGAGGCAAGTCTAACTTACAAGCACTTACAGCAGGGCAGGAACTGAGATGCTGACCACGGCAGTGCTGCACTCCTGCCTGAACAAGGATGTCCCAGCACGCTGTCATCTTGAGGAAAGAGAGAAAGATTAGTGCCAGAACCTGCCTGGCTGTGGCTCCCAAAATAACTGCTTCTCCTTCTGTCCTTCCCAGAAATAGAATATGAAACCACAGCATCTTGGACAAATTGGAATTTGCATAGTTCTGCGAAACATTTCCTTCAGTTAGGAATGATTTAATTATTCTTCACTTCCTCTTCTAGAAATCATTCCTGGATAATGATGTTAGCATAGAGCAGATATGTTTCAGTCAAGAAATTGATGTAATTCAGTGCCAGAAGGCTTTTACAGTACCAAAAGAAAGAAGAATTTCGTACACTTCTAAATAGAAATAACAGTATAGAAAAGGTTGGCAATTCAATTACAATAGCCTGAGTCACTGGGTGTCTTAACCTGGTGCCGTGTCAGCACCCTGAAGAATGAGGGGACAACTCACGTGAAACAGATACTTACATTCTAAATAATTATTAAATCATGACTAGCTGTATTACCTCCAGAGAATTGTTTATCTCTGCACATTGAATCCCTGAAGTCAAAGTACAGTAGAGCTAGAATACTTGTGATATGGAATGGAAGACCTATCACTGCACCTTGCTTTGGACCTTAGAAACTGTGATTTCCTGCACGATAGTTAAATATGTTTTATAAATAGCTCAACAGAATCCAGCTTTTATTTTTCAAGCAATAATAACCTGCAATCAATTGGAGACCTTAACCTCAATTAAATGGGAAAATCATTTTCTTTCTAAAGTTTGACTGGACAGATGCTGAGAAGACAAAAGTAATTTGGTACCTTAGGGAGGGAGCTCAACAGTTTGCGTTTGATAAAAGTCATGGAATGGAACATAAGGAGTTTTTCACTGAACACGGGGAAAACAAGACTATGAATGCAAGTCCAGCCTTCACATCATATACTAATCTTCTAGAACATCACAGGGAGTCATAAAACATTTTCAAAGTTTTAAGAAGTACCTTAGCTGAAGAAGTGCTTTGCATCAATTCTTATGGGAACAGCGGGAGCGAATGCTGTGTTTGGTGCACAAACATCTTCCACCTCAGGAACAGAACACCTAGAATTTTCCTTCCTAAAACAAACAGCTTTGGCTTTGACACTAAAAAAACAAACATTTGCTGTGTACCAACACACCATCAGCTCAACTAACAAGACAAATTATATGGAGCTTTTTTCAGTATTCAAGCACATTCCCAGAATCTTAACTTTAACTTCTGAATGAGATAAAATGCAAAAAGTCATAGAACTTTGAAATGATACAAAGATGAACATAAGATGTTTGTTTTTTTTTTTTCCCTTTAGGAAACTGAACTGATGGAAAGGATGATCTGAAAGCTATCCTGTTCATCTGATGGGTCACTCAGCATTCAAAAACCCTGGCTGAATTCTTTCAAGAGAAGGGAGCAAACACCTCTTCAACCAGAAAAATAACAGTTCTGGATATGTGTATTGGAGCTTCATGCTTCCTGTGAAGCAGAGACCCAACCAGAGTTTCTTCTGCAGGCTTCAAAATGCAAAGTTTTCCAAACCAAACCAATCGAACCTACCAGGCACAGAGAGACATGAAGTACAAATTCAGCATGAACAGATCATACTGCAGCTCAGCTCATTCTATCCACACCGGGAAAGAAAGTTGTGTCATAATTGGAAAAAATAAGACATTTTTCAATCTGCCAACTTGTACTGTGCTCTAAAACAAGCAAGCAATGCCATGCCATATCAGCTCTTCACACCAATGAGTGCTTTCCCACACTACTCACCTTCACAGATAGAGCCAGCTGCAAGTCCTGCTAATGTGTGCACAATGACTTCTTTAAACACACCAGGAGCAGTCCAGCCCTGCCATATGCACTGATTTACTACAGATGCTTTTAAAACTGTCACAAATTGTGACGACTATTTGTATAACACTTCAGACAGTTAGCAGCTCTTCAGCTCTGCTGGGAAGAGAGCAGAAATCACTCCTCAGCTCTCACATGCTAATTTCCTGCTAAGGTGACCCGCTAATAACCAAGCTAGCAATGTGGTGTTGGGGACTTATTACTGTATTTTAGATTTTCCTGTTTCTATTAGACTTTTTTTCCATCCGAGTATTTTGTAAGAGAGTAGTTACAGCTTGCAAGCTTGCTTTCTTTTCTCCAGAGATGCCTGCAAAACATTTGATGAACTTATTTTCCTGCATGTTCAGAACTCCTGATCGCATATATTATACTGAGTTCTGAAAGCACTGGTTACTTGGCTATCAAGATTCACTCTTCCATCAGGTGGGGAGTGCTTTTTCTTAAGGTTATTTAGTGAAGTTGTCTTGTAATTATTATTATTATTATTATTTTCATAGGTACAGTCCTCCAGCATTAGTCACTGTATACTACGAGACATGCAGGGGAAGATTAGCTCCAAAAGGATGTAAATCCACATAATTTCAAGTGACAGAAGAATATACAAAATGCTGCTGCCTGTTGAAATTGTCTATCTTCTTGATTTATATGGAAATAGATTGTCAGAAAAAAATGTACATTCTTTTGAACACTAACATACCAGTATGAATCAACATGTGAACGCTGATCTATGAAGCAAGCCAGTAGGAAACACACTGGTTAGTTTTAGTTGCTTAACATATTACTGCACACAAACAGAATACTTTTAGGGGAAAATAAACACCAAGATTTCAAAGTTTAATCATATCTCTCATATCAACCAATGAGAAATTCCCTCCACTGCACTAAGTTGGACTTTGTTCATGATAGCAATTGATCTTACAACTGCCATGTTTAACCAAAATAATTATTGTCACTCCTATTTGTTAGCCTTCAACTAAGGATTAGCCACACACTGATGCCTGACCTTGGCACAGACCTGGGAGGAGTGCTTAGAGGGGAACCAAGCAGGCAGGCACACTCTCTCAGAGCATACCATGTAGCTCTGGGCAACCAAGTCCAAACGAGAAAGACTTCCAAACATTCCCTTCCACTTAAGACTGTGGAGTTACATTTCAGAGAAGACAACTCCTTGTCAAATGCTCTGCAACCGCTACATTTCAGTATAACAAACTTTTGGAATTGTGCAGCATATCTTCACCTGTCTCATCAGCTCTCACTTGATTTGTGCCTCCTCCAACAGTTTGCACAGTGATAACGTAACAGGTAAATATTCATGAAGTATTTCTGGCAGCTGTTAGCCACTCTTACATTATTCTCTTTGGAGAACATTTATCACATTGGTACAGTGAAAACATTCTGGGGCCAAGGAAAAATGTTTCTTCAGTTTTCATGTATTCAATAAGCCCAAGGAAGTCAGACAGCTGCTTCTGAACCGGACTGTGTTTCAAATCTAGTTTATTGTGGTATGAAGAACTTGAAATAGGTCTCTCACCAAAAGATTTCTAAATGGAAAAGTAATATGATGTTAATTAGAAAATTCTTTACATAGTAAAAAGCTCCTGTGGAACAATTAGTCTGTATTTCACATCATCCTTTTCTAACACAATCTTCACATAGGGAAAAGAAAACACGCAAGAAAGAACAACAGCATCAGAAACATCATATAAAAGGCTATATTTGAGTATTTTCCAGATAACAATTAAACCTTTCTGTGGATACCTGCGTCAGCTTTATCACAAACCGGAGTAACATGAAAGAAATACGATGGAAGATATATTCATTCTGTCTCAGTACAAAAACTTCAATTTAAAAATTTAAATGACAGATTACTAGAGAACTATCAGCTGATACACAAGATTAGGATTGTATCTAGTCAGATATCAAATTCAGGCACTTTTTAACACATTCTCAGCAAAGGTTTTTTCTTCTAACCAGTCTAGATGTAGCATTTGAGTACTGAAGATGTTGTTCCAAGGTAATAGACTAGACTGACTGAAATGACTAAGGACATATACAGGAAAACTCACTAATATAAATACATATTGTGTATGAAGCAGCTTTAAGTCCTACTCTCATCACAGAAAGTCATGTAACATTCACCATGCCAGCTCTGCTGCCCCACACCTACTGGACCAACCGCCATTAACAGTTCTATGCTTAACAGTGCCAAGTGCAAAAGTGCAATTTATGACAATCCATACATGCATGTCCAAACTCAACAGGGGTGGGGGCTACAGGCAGCTCATAACAGCTCCTGGACAACAGAGCACACCTTATTACTAAATTAACAACTGCATTCATGCAGCCATGGAAGCAGGCTTAAGGGGGTCAAACAAACTCTTCCCAGAGTAAATGGCCAGAACAGCCAATGCTGACACAGTGTTGTGTGCCCTTTTTAAGGAAAAGTGGAATCTGGGAAGAAACCCGGTGATTGAAGTTTACTTGTGCGCATATTCCTCCACAAAATTTTGTAGACAGAAATCAAACGCATTCATTTCTTTCAAAAGAAAGAATTTGGAGAATACAGCATACAGAATAGGGAGACATGAAATACAGTCATAATACTAGCTAAAAGACTGGCTTTGCCTTTCTAAGAACTGTTGAGTTGCTGATGAAGCTGTCCAGGTAGTTTTTTGAAGTACAGCAGCCAAGTTCAGACTGCAAGATATCACATTATTATGAATTTCTTCCCTTTTTTTCCCCCTATTTTAAATAGACACCTGACACAGTTCTACACAAAGAGACAGTCCTTTTACATGAGGCTGAACATCCAGCCCTAAGCAGTCCTTCAAGGAGCTCTGCACTTTCCTTAATAAAGGGTTTGCTTTTAGCACTATATTAAGTCAGTTAAGTACCATCACTCACTCTGTAGCCTCACACAAATCTAAAGAAGCCAAGCTAAGATATTGCCTTGTACTACAAGACCCATTAAACAGTACGGATCAAAACCTGATCTCTGATACTTGTGTTAGCAAAGCAGGCTGGAGCAGCTGAGGACAGCCTCTCACATTTGCACATTGCATCATAGCAATCAAGGACACTCAAGTATTTATAGTAAGATTACGATCAGCATAGTCTCACAGATGCCTATTTTGAGCAGAGTAACTGCTGTTAGTCACTGTAGTATTCATAGTCTTAACTGTAGTCTAGAATCTGAAAGAAAGTCTGCAAACAACCTGAAATGTATTTTAACAACAATATATAAGGAGGAAACTTTCAGGAATTCTTTTGAACAAACTCACATGGAAAGTGCTTTTTTATTTGGCATAATTATCATTATCATTAGTTCTTTGCCTGTCAATAAAGCAAAGGGTATATGTGGGGAAAGTCAGTCACTAAAATAGTTACTTCCCTTTGAGGCTTAAAGCAAGTGTAAGAACTGATGCTTTTCTCCTTGCTTGTTTCTCTGTATAAGGCACTGCAGTGTGCTTGTCAAAACATACCTATTGAGGGTCTTTTTCCAAAGCTGGCCAGAAAGTTCTCTGGGAGTCTCAGATTGGAACTTTCAAAACTCCACTCAATATTACACATAAGTGACTAGGAAGCTTTAAAAATGAGATCCTTCTAAGTCGGCCAAAACAGAAACCCAATCTTTCCCCACCCAAAACACTTGAAACACATTGCCAGTTACAGTAATTACATAATTATATAAACTTTCAGTCTCTTGACTCTAAGTTAATTAGTTCTCCAACACTGAAGAGTCCTCAGAAGTAAAGGAAATGTCTAATTTTAAAGTAAACAGAGAGGTACAAAACAGCAAATATATCAAGAAAATTATTTCCTCCTCTCCCCAGTGAAGATAACTGTCTCTTAATGGTTGCAGAGAAACCACAAACTTCCCTGATTTTTTTTTTCCTCCAAAAATCAATAATCCCTCCCTAACTCTCAGGGAGGTTCTGAGGACTGAAGTTGGTAACACACATTGAACATGGAAAGGCCGCTGTGAGGTAGTATCACAGCATTCCTATTATCTAGCTTATACCTCTGTCTTTCTGAAGAACTAGTAGAGCTTTTTAACCCCATTTCACAAAGATTTCAACTCAACCTTTTATAAAAGGATATCTATAAATAGCCTCTTAGATTTAAACCCTTAACTTCTGTGAATGCTGGAAAGGGAGGTGGACATTATCCACCTTACAATACTAGACTGGAGCTGGAAGGGCTTAATTACCAAGATATACTTAAGAACACACTAAAGGCTGAAAAAAAAAAAAAAAAATTACTCCAATTACAGCAGCTCTGCAGACACCAATCCCCAAAAGAGGAAAACCATCCCTTTTACCTATTTCCAAGCAGCTCTCCTCATACCCCATGCTAAAAAAAAAAAGGCATAAAGAACAAACTGAAGCGTTACACCGTGCAACAGTTGGGCTGCACACGAAGAGAACTTTCCCACAGGCAGCTTAACAGAAGCTTTTACATCAGGCAACTTAAACATTTCTTTTGTTTCAGGTTGAAATCTTGAAGTTCAGACACAGTGCTTGTATAATCAAAAGCAGCAAAATAATTTCAGCTAAGAGATGCTTTTAACTCAAGATCTAGCATGATTTACACATTCACTGTCCTGAAGTAAGGAATTCACTGTTTTCCTTGTGATTTTGTCTCTGATGACTTATTTATGATATCACTTTTGATTTTGTATAAACACAAAAAAAACTGTAATTAGTGATTAACGCTCAGTGAAATTGTTTCTGTTGATGGTCACAAAGTTCTTAAACTTTCAATACTCCTGTGCTAAGCTTTTTGCAATGGTGCTCAACTGGATGTTTGAAGTTCCTTCATATATTGTACCTGAAATCAGAACAGAAAGAGTTAGGAGACAATAAAATCATGGTGAGTACACCAAGAGATCAAGATATTATTCTAACAGTCCAGCTAGAACACTTACGATTACAAAGAGAAGCTTTACTAAACAAGTTCTAGAATTAATATTCATGTAGATGTTCATATCTTATCTGCAACAATCAAAATGCTTTTCTTTTGGTACAACAGAACGACAAGAAATTTCCATGAAAACCAATTCCTAGATAACCAATAAAAAGCTAACCATCAACATAAGATCCCAGCAAATAGTAGCAGTGTCAAACCCTTAGGTTCAGCAGTTACACTGGTAAACAAGGAAACCTTCATAATATTCTACATACATTCAGACCTTTAATCCAAAGAACTACATACAAGGTACATTTTAATCAGTGTTGATTACAGTTCTCAGGGAAAAAATCTCTTTAAAAATTAGCCAGTCATTAATGTCCAAAGTATAATAATATCAATGCCACAAAAAACATTTGTTTAGAGGCTATCACTCACCTATTTTGCAATCACGGTAGTACTTTTCTATTGGATAATTCTTTGTGAATCCAACACCACCCATCCATTCAATACATTTACTAGTAGTTAGTGTTGCAACCTATGAAAATAGTTTAACTGTTACTATTTCAGGATTCAACATCTTGTCGGCAATGCTACACTTTATAGTCATTAAAAGTGAAGACAAAATAGTAATTACAACAGTAACTAGAATAAGTGGAAAAATAACAGATTGATATTTTTGTACTCATTTTATGCAAGTTATTTTATACATTAACATTCTTCCACATTAGAGAACATCAGAGAATTCACTATGATTGCAACAGTTCATATGACACCCTATGAAATAGACTAGGGGAAATATGCAAAACAGCAATTAAAAAGAAACAGAAGCAATGCAGTTCTGAATCACATTAAGCACCAGGGTTGTGGACCAGCTAAGGTGAACCATTTATTTCTCCAGCCACAAAAAGAATCCCGAGAGAATGAAATCTCTCTAGATAAGTCAAAATACAAATTCACTCTCTTTTAATGACAGAATATAGGAATACAGATTTCACAGCAAAACACGACTTAACAATTGCATGTTCAGTAACGGAAGAAACTTTCAAACAGCAGTGAAATAAACTGTAGAAAGCTGTACATTACCTCTGCAGCATAGTATTTGGCCATGCTGGCCTCTTTTATGAATGGCTTTCCTGTTTCTGCAAGACGGGCTGCATTGTAGGTCAACAGCCTGGCAGCCTCCAACTGTGTGGCCACCTGAGCTATCTGGTGCTGCATTGCCTGTAATAAGCACGTCACAAGTCAGACAGAACTAATATTTAGTACTCATGTGAAATTTCTAGCAAGAATCCCTTTCTCTCCATAAAAGGACATATCTACACTCAAAATAAGTAATCCAGATAGTAATAAGTAAAGTAATAAGATAGTAATCCAGTAATTCTGCATGGCTCTGCATTTGTGACAACAAATTTGAGAAATCTCTGAGCCACTGAAGTCCTTTTTAGGAATTGCACTCTTTCTCCTTTCCTCTTCTTGGATTCAGAAGTACAGGGGAACTTCTTGCCAGACTGGAAAGAGTCAACTATTTGAACCCATGAATACCAAAGAAGTCTCAGCCAAATGGCAACATTCTGCTCAGCAGTGCAGTGACAAGAGTTGGTCAAAGTGCTATATTTACTTGGCAGCTATCTATTGAGAATAGTTGTACATCAACACACCTAGTTCTCTCATGAAGTTTAACTGAAAAAAGACATGAAAAAAACTTCTTAGATAAAATGGAGAACTACTAATGCAACAACTACCTCTTCCCATGCCCAATATTCATGAGACAAAAGCTATGGGTGGCTTAGAAAGAAGTATAGAGGATGTGACTGATGAATGGATTCAACAAGAAGGAAAATGGTGATGGAATTCACCTCTAAATGGCAGGTATTAAAGAAGAATAGGATTACGGAAAGAGATACAAACATTATGATGATTGAAAATGAGTATTTAATAGTCTAACTTGCACCTAAAACACAATGAAATCTTTCATCTTATTAGAACATTAACACTGCTCCTTAAAATTTGCAGAAACATATAGCAGAAATATAAAGGCAGGTCAAAATAACAGAATAATTTGGCAATTACGAAATTCAATTTCCCATTTGAAAGACACAGTTCCAATAATTTTCTAAATATCTCTGGGTGCTTCCTAAAATTTGTACAAATTACCAGTAGCATTAATGTTCCTTCCCTTCAGCTGAGATGTAGGTTTCTTTTAACAAGAAAATTACTACAGTAATTACAATTATACATCTTCCTTATTAAACTATACATCATTTTTGCAACAAAGAGTCTTTCAGTTTAAGATACAGATATTATCAGGAAAACTAAATGTCTTTATATAACACAGGAAATAGAATAATTCAATAAGTTTTCCTCATCTTTCTACGTTTTCCAGTGTCTCCAGGAAAAGGCCTTCCCCTCCACCTCATGTGAGTGAATAAAAACTGGGATGTGCTCAACATACTGTGAGATTAAAATCAGTGTGTATTTTTCAAGGCAGTGAATATAATAGCAAGCAAAATGAGCTACAACACTACTGTTTTAAAATTATGAATGAATTACATGCTATTTGAAAAAAACCCACTGAATTGATATATTTCCCAGGGAAGTGGTTGAGTCACCATCCCTGGATGTGTTTAAAAACAGTTTGGATGTGGCGCTCAGGGATGTGATTTAGCAGAGGGTTGTTAGGGTGGTATGGTTAGGTTGTGGTTGGATTTGATGATCTTTAAGGTCTTTTCCAACCTGAGCAATTCTGTGATTCTGTGATTTCAAATCAAATGCTGGTCTGAAATTCTTCTGAAAATTTCTTCTCAAGTATGGAGAAGCCATGGCAGAAGATAAAAGCACAAATTATGAAAATCAGGTAACTTGTTTTGTTAACTTCATCTACTGTGATCACTGCTAGTGTTTTGGAGAAAACCTCTCATGAGCCTGTTAACAAGTACCTGGAAATCAAATACACGTTTCCCAAACTGGACTCTCTCCTTTGTGTATGGAACTGCATGGTCAAAACACCCCTGTGCCAGTCCTAACATCTGTAAAAAAGACAAGGCATATATTTAGTAAAAATTAGCTAATGAATGCACCTTACAGAGATCAGAGCAGAGAGTTTTCTAGTCAGTAAGTTCACCTTTGTAAAAAGCCCGGTGTGTAAGAGAAAAAAATGTTCTTCCTATCTAATGATTGCTAAAACAAATCCAAAATATTATGCAGGTTCTATATAGAATCTGAAGAGAGAGTTTTACAGTTATTCAGATTTCAGACATTTACTCTTTATTCAATTAAAATTCTGGAAAAAAAACCAAACACAATGCCTACAAAAAAGGTTATCTAAGAAAAGAATGTAAGAAAATAATGCAGTACTTTGCTCATTAGCTGCACTGATATTTATTGTTGTTTTGAATAAACTCATGTGAATGAACTAAGCTCATCAGCTTCAGCACCTCTAACAATGTATATAGCTACCTTGCACTAAAACTGTCTGAAATTGTTTTCACAGCCATAGTTATATTTCTACGTAATTTTAATTATCTTTTAAACCTACCACACTGCAAAACTAAATTCAATACTACAGGGCTTTAACACTGCTCTTCTTGTTCATTCAAGTATATTTCTCACCATTTACCAGAAAAGTAGTAACTGAGATATAACAACTACCTGACCTTAACTTTTAATTAGGCTATAAGTGTAACTTGAAGTAATTAAGTTAAATTCTAGACCATGTGTTTTACTGCCAGAGCATCTATATTATTTATATCTCTGGAAATAGCAGAGCCCATGGATCTCGTTTTTAAATGCCATATGTGGCCAAGTTTAATCACAGATATTTTTTAGAAATGATGGAAAAGCCAATGCATTTAGCAACATAGCACACTGCCACGTGAAAAATCTAAGTTTTCGAAGGATCACTACTCCTGGTGTGATTATTCAGAGGTCTGTCTGCAAACTGGAGGAAAAGGTTAGGGAGGATCAGCAGCACCGATGCATCGCACCCTACACAGCATAACTACATCCACAACAAAATACCAAGAAAACGTTACTTATTAGGAAGTAAATTCAAAAACACAGAAAAAAAACTTGTCATAAGCTGTTTTATTATAAGGCTGTATCTGATTTCCACTGAAATCACCAGCAGTCTGAGATCCAAAGTGAGTTTACAACAAAATGCAGCACTTGGAAAAAACTCCAACATGAGCAAATGAGTTCCTGAAGATGCCATTAAGATACAATTTTCAAACACAACACTGAACTAGGACACTTCTGCTACAAAAAACATAATACTTATTTCAAAAATAAGTTAACTATTAACAAAAATGCTACTGAGGAAACATTAGTTAGCCTAAGGTCACATTTGGCAATCCCATCCAATCACAGTGAGAAACATTAATATCACACACTTCAGTATATTATATTATCCAGAGATCTAGTCTTCAAAAAATAAATTTACACAATAAGCGACAAAAGTGTTGAAATATTTCTGAAGCTATAAGTTAACCACCAAAGACAAGCTAATTGGTATTTAATGTGTTTAAATGCATTGCTTATGTCACAGAAAGGATTTAATCATTTGCTATTTGGTTGTTTCAGTATATTGCTGTAATTTAGACACAGGGACAGTGACATCTAGTGGCAATATAGTTTTTAGTAAAGTGTCTTAACTGTTTATCTTTACTAGCCACCAATACTTTGTAAGGTTCAGTGCAAATTCAGAGTTATATCATGGTTGCATTCAGCATTAAACAATCTTACCCACCTGTGCAGCAATCCCTATTCTGCCACCATTCAGCATTCCAATCGCATACTTGTAGCCCTGTCCAATCTGCCCAAGGATATTTGTCTCAGGAACCTAAGGAATAAAATCACTCAATTATTTGTATTCTGTTCTGCTTTGCAACTGTTACAAGCGTTCATAAGTGAATCATTGCACACTTTAATTTGCCCTGTAAAGGAGGGCATAAAACATAAACCAACCACCTGCATATTAGAAGATCCAATTAGAATATTCACTGATTATAAATAAATTCAATTAGGAAAAATGGTATCAAAATTTATAACTTAAAACTCAATCCTCCTGAATATTTCTGAGAAATAGGGATGACTGTAACAAGCAATGAAGGGGAAAAAGGGAGGAAAAAATGGAAGTGTAGTTAACGTTCTTTCCTTATGTGTGATCAAGCTCAAATCATACACAAGTTATGCTTCAATAGCTAAACAGCCTACAGTACCTTAACATTTTCAAATGTTACTGGGCAAGTAGACGATGCTCTGATTCCAAGCTTATCCTCCTTCTTGCCTACATGTAGTCCCTCTGTGTCACGATCTACTATGAAGCATGTAATTCCCTTGTATCCCTAGGACGAATTAAAAAAAAATAATCAGTAACTGTTCTTTTATACTAGTATTACCAAATGCTTATACAAACATCACATTCCAATGCTGACTTTTTATACCTGCTTCATATGTTACTAAATAAGACTGGCATTGTCATCTGCTCCCTATATCTACTAATTATAGCTCAACACAGGCCAAAGCAAACACTCTATTAAAATGTCTATTTTCTACGTGGAAAATAGAATAATTTTGGAAGTTCTCTTGAGAGTATAGGAGACCAGTATTATGCCAATGGAACAGGATCACAGTGCCTGTCTGTACTAGAAATCACTGGGAAAACAAGTTAATGCTGTGTTGGAACATGGTACAGTTACAGTGAGCTGCCAGACAGAGGGTGTGTTTAGACTCAACAGCTCTAAACCCACCTGTCAGAATATTCTGCAGTATGCAAGATTTTAGTTAAGCTCAATCACTCCAGCTGTGCTTCCTATGGAAGGCTGCAAATATTCACTTCCTTTTAAGGTAAGAATACTCACTAAAGAGACTGTTATCACTGGGAATTGTGTCTGAATATTCAGAGTTCAGTGTAAGTACTATAAAAGCCCCGAATGGACATCCAGGATTGCTAGGCACATTCATTTTGGGATTCCAGTCTGCAGAACATGAATACCACTGCCTTTTCATTTACAAAAATTAGTGGGAACATATTTTATAAAGTACTCTGAGATCATTATGATGGCTGTTGTACACATTCAGATCACAATTTGGACAGGACACTCAATAATGCATGTGACAATACATAAACTGTACAGTCAGTCTCAATACTGGCATCTCTATGCACAGGCTTAGTCTTCACACAGCTGAAATCTTAGAATCCTGAAGTACAGCAGTAATTCCTGATAACTGTCACTTTCCCTTTCTCTCTGCAATTTATTCTTATTTCCAGTTCTCTCTCCTTTCCCTCACTCATTCATGCTTTCTCAGCATTTCCTCCTGCCAGAACCACAGCAGTCTCTCACACCCCATTCTACAAGGCCCAGGAGAGAAGTACAAGGTCCTCCAGGCCACGTTCTCATCTCTTCCCAAACCTACCACCCACAGCACTTCCTCCTGTTGAGAGGATGGCACAGTGAAGCAGGAAAAGTATTGTGGTCCTTGTGAGAGTTGTATCCTTATTAAAGAGAAGACTAGCATTTCCACTCTGTCATGGTTTTATGATTTCTGTTATCAGTATTCCACGTCATAACATCATGTAGTGCACTGCAAGTTAAAGAGTTAATGGTATACAGATCTACAGTGGCCTGTTCTCTTATATGTACTATTGTTAACTGTTAGCTAATCTTTGAAAATCAATGACTTTCAGTCTCCTTGAATATTAACGTAAAATCAAATTTCTAACTTCAATGGACAAAACATATTCTTTCAAAATGCTACACAGAGTAACAACTCCAGACTATAAGCAAGGGGCAACAGCTAACAAATATGGAAATGACTTATCAAATGTATGTTCAGGTTATGAAATACTCACATCACCCACCAGATTGTAATGAAATGAACAAAATTTCAGAAAACAACACGATACTCAAATGTTCTATCCAGTGAAAGGAAACAAGGGTTTTTTTATTAGTCAGAGTTTGAATTTTAATTTAGAAATAAGTGTCTTCAAGTAATTTTTTTTTTTTTTTTTAAGAAAAAGATATAGGAAGAAGTTTTAAACAATTTAGTTTTGTATTGGATTCTCTACTTTGTGGTACTTTAAAGCTTGCAGTTGATTTATGAGTCTTTACCACCAATATCCAAATTAGTAAATGACAAAACTTGAAACATGAATATGATATGGGTTTGGTTTTCTTTTTCTTTTAATCTGAACTTTATTAATGTGTACTTGTTAATTATTTGGTGTATGTAGCCTAAGCTCTGTTTTGCCTTGCAAAACAGCAACTTGTCAGTTGGGCCAGAAGTGTCACAAATAATCTGTTCTTCTGTTACTCAGAATAAGACCAATGCATGCTGTGCTTGTCATCAAGTAATTATGACTCTGACATTTTTATTTTCCCTGGTGGAAGGAATTTATTAAATTGCTCAGCAAGTTCTCATTTTTGTTGGAAAACACTTAAGGTTTGTTCTCAGCTAGGAAAGAGTGCAAAGAATAAAAGCCTTTAACATCAGATTATTAATATAAAATTCACAGTGTCATATATCATAATCTGTCATTGAAAATAACATTATTCTTTAGCAACTTACTGAGGAAGGATCTGTATTTGCCATCACAAAGAAAACCCCTGCATGTTCTGCTAAGGTAATCCACATCTTTGAGCCATTGATAATATAGTAGTCTCCTTTCTTTTCAGCACGAGTCTTCAAAGAGAAAGCATCGCTGCCAGATCCAGCCTCTGACAGGCAAAAACTGCCTATCTGTCAATTGAAGGGAAAAATTCATTTTAGGAATTCTGCAACAAAAATAGTTATTGGCAAGCACAAGCCTCTTGAATTCAAACTTTTTAACCTACCACTTCAAAGTAATTAAGTTTCAGGTATGGAGGTTAACAACAGAAACACCATATAATTCCATATCTCTTGCAGTCAACTGCTTTAGAGATTTTTTCCACAGTAACTTAAATTTTTATGGAACTGAGACCCTTTCTTCTTTTACCTCTCATCTACTGATATCAGGATGCATCTTTACCACCACAGCTCTCAGTGTTTCAAAGTTCACGTACAAAGATATTTTCCACTGCTGCAGTCACCCATTTAGTTACTGAGAAAAAAAAAAAAAACACCCAACCACTACTATTATGTGACTTCTGAAAACTATCCTATATTATAGTAACATGAGATGCTGACTCACTGTATCTTTAGACACTTTAGGCAAGTAGGTTTTCTTTTGTTCTTCTGTTCCATATGTGGTAAATAACCTATTTGTCAGGGTATTTTGGAGTTCACACATCAGAGCTACAGTTGGATCAACTTTGGCCAATTCTTCTACTGCCAATATGACGGAAAAAAATGAAGCTCCAGTTCCTCCATACTCTTCCCCAAGCTCGATACTCATCAGCTGAAATGGAAAAGATGCAAATACATCAGCCTTTCTCATGAGTTCTCATTAATCTGTTACCCAAAGCTAATACTTAAAAGACTAAAATAAAAACTACAACAAGTAAGCATTTCCAGGTCCTTTCTTAAAGATGCAGTTCCTTACAATACCATCTACAATCTAAAAAGAATTATCAAAGAAGAGTCAACCCGTGCAAGAAATAATTCACAAAAGCAGAATACAGGCCAAACATCACCAAGGCCAGGCTGGATGTGGCTCTGGGCAGCCTGGTCTGGTGGTTGGCAACCCTGCACATAGCAGGGGGGTTGAAATCAGATGATCATTGTGGTCCTTTTCAGCCCAGGCCATTCTATGATCACTTTGCAATTTCAATATAGGTCCATCATTTAGAGTTGTCTTTGTAGAAAATGATGTTTTCATCATAAATGAGGTTTGATAGCAGGAAAGGCTACAATTGAACGCAGGAATGATAAACAGAAGCTCCTGCAGCTGCCTGATATGGATATGGAAGACTCTCAATGCCCTTTTCCAGTGACACTTACAGTTATGCTGGTCCTAGTATTGCATGCAATTATTCTTGTCCAAGAAAAAAAACGAAAAGTTGGTAAAGATAAAGAACTCAAAGATGATTTGAAGAATGCTGTATAAGAGTGGGGCAGATGGAAAGAATATCACAGTAAAACATGAAGAGAGATTAAAAAAGAAAATAAAACTGCCTTTCTGTTGATAAACCCCAAATTTTGCAATGATTCATTAGCTCAAATGAATTCTCTCTCACAATCTTTTAATCTAAAAATCTGAAAAGTGGACAGTTAGAAACTCATATTACTGGTGTTCCTTTTGACTAAATAAAAGTAAAAGTAAAAATGTGCAGACCCCTTGTTCAAACAATCCCTTTATTACAGAGTCTTCCATTTTCGAATTCTCATCCATTTTTTGTACCAGAGGTGCAACTCGGTCCTGAGCAAATCTTTTCACTGTAATGAAAGAAGAAAGAAAGCACGTAAGTATCCTAACACTCTACTTGACGATCACTCAAATATCACACTTCTGAGAGGTTATGCCTCTATTCTGACATTCCCAGGCAATTTAATAAAAAGACAAGAAGTGAAACAAAGTAATGCACCACAATGTTCAGTTATCATTCACTTTACAAGCTTGTGAACTAAAACAAGTACTTTCTCTAAATTTAGAAGCTTCAAAACACAAATCAAATACACTTACATGCAATTATCTGGGAAAAAAAAAGGGGGAGGAGGGGAAGATTCCCAATATGCCCCTTATTTTGTTAGCTGTATCTTCTTTACAAATTCAGCTTCTCACTTGCGCAGTCTTAAGGCTTTAACACATGTTGAGTGTATGAGATAAGCAGACTGCTCCTGTTCAACCTGAATCTTAGAGATCTCTTCTACACATGCAGGTTCTCACTCTGACCCCTCTGCGCCGAAATCTTCCTCATGCAGGCCTGACTACATGGTAGGCACACATCACATCTGTCACCATCAGGGGATAGGTGAAACCTCTGACAACCAGCTGGAGCAGTGACCCACAGCTGAACCAAGCACTTCTGAAAGGGCGTGAGATAACACCAGGCAACTTCACTGCTGCGACAACAACAGTTTCAAACAGCTAATATTTACTCACGCAGAGTAAACTGCACTCTGGTATGTGCACTTGTGCTCTGGTAACATGGAAGAAGGACCAAAACAACACTGCATTCTTCTCTTGTGATCTACAGCAATTTAAAAATTAAGCAAAATTCAACAAAACTATCTCAGCTAGAGATTTAATTGGTATTAAATGACAAAAAATGTGTTTAAGGTATGATTTCCCTTCTAGTTAGGCATTTCTGAATTTTAACCACGCAGAAAATAGGTACCCATATTTTTCAGCATCGTCTCCTCTTCAGTGAATGTTTGAAGCGGAGCACAGATGAATCCATCAGTTGTCACATTTGGCATAAGTTCTGATTTGGAGGATCTATAGACACACTGAGAAGCCCTCCAAGAGGCTGCCAAGTATGCTGGCACATTTCTTTTCAGCTGTTAAAAATAAATACAGAATGTCAGAACAGTTAACAGAATTCACGTCTGCAGACTACTTAAATATTCATGTAAAACAACATTTTTTTCCACTCAACTTTAATAACAGACTTAACTTTCTCTGATTTTCTAGGGACCAGAAACTCTCACTTTCAAAGCAATGACAGACCTTTCTCTGATTACTGTGTTGTGAAAGGGCATGACTTCAACAGCGCTGTGTATTTTTCTGTTCCAATCGAAATCTTACTTATCACTGGCTGATTTTCAGAGCAAACAGTTCACAATCCAAGCACTAGGTATTTGAAACTTTCTATATAGTTTAAATCCTACAGCTAGTATATTGATAGTGCTCTGTAACTAATTATTAACATCTTGGTTGATTTATTTAAAAAGTACAGGAGCACTAAACCTGAATGATTAACCTCACCCCTCTCTTAAGTGTCTCTCCTTTCATCCACGATATAAAACAATCTCAAATGACATCAAGAAGCAGTGTGTATCCACCCAAGAGAGTAGAGGTATTAAACAGCATTTTACTGCAGGTGGAACTGTGTTAAGCACACATGGTAAAATCAAGGAAGTTACAAAAATAACAGCATACACAGAGTGGCTGTTGGGAGCAAATTGCACACAGTGATCATCAGCTGAGCAAATAGAGATAATGTGAAAGAACGAGTTTTACATCTTGGGGAGCTCTGAACTACTTTCTGTTCAAAGAATGCTCAGGTAGGTAATGCAATTAACATAGCAAACATGAGCTGGCTCAAAAAGCAACAGGTTAATGTGTGGAGCCTGCTGCAAAATTTATTTTGTGCTATTCAAAAGCAGTACCCAAAAAAGAACAGTCCGACCAACTGAGCTCAAGAGACGAGACAGAAAGGGAGGCTTTGCCCTCACAGCTCCCTGAACCCAACGCACCCTGTGGCTGTTGTTGTCCCATCAGATCTTTGCTACAGATTTCTGCCACTGTTGCTGCCAGACTGAAGCGCAGACATTCACTTCTTATCAAGACAGCTGCTGACAGAAACCCCTAGCAGAGACACAGCTGTGCCATAAGAATAACGCATATATGAGCAGCTCCTGCTAAGATACATTTTTGCTAGCATGCACTCTTAACCCCACAGTGAGCTGATGACAGACTGTGCGGTAAGCAGAGTGCTCCCAGCTCACAAAAAGCAGGACAAGTTAGCAGTGCACATTACGATTGCAGCATTTCTCAAAAACCAGCAGGAATTTTGAGGTTGGGAATTAAAAATTCCTTTGATCCTTCCAATATTTACTCTTCCATGCTGACTTCAATACCACACTGACTGAAGAGCTGACGTAAAACAGATCTGTGGACTCCTTTTGTCTTAGCAACAAGACGCCCAAGCCTATCGCAAGTAAGGAACTTTACTCCAAACAGCCATGGACAACCCGAAGAAAACAAAAGGAGTTGCAATGCAGAAGACAGGCACTGCTGTTTGTTTGTATCCAACACCACAGGTCACATAAAACAAACACTGACTGAGACTGATTCAGGAATACTATATGAGCAGCAACAACTGCAACACTTTCAAATTAAGTCACTGGAGCCACCACAGGCCTTCATAGAAAAGCAAACTAAGAGCGGCTTTATAGAGGAAAAAAATCCAAGCTAAGCACGATCCTGAGGCTGACAGCAGGTACAGAGCCAGTACTGCTGCAGCAATCTCTATTAACACTCTGGGTGTCACCACAGCTCCCTTGGTGGCTCTCAGCACTGGGATGCAGACTTACTGACAGCTGAACGCATCGCTGGATGCACACAGCGCTCCCTGCCCCGCTCACAGTGGGGAGCAGACATTTACCAACCAGAGAGAAAAATACAGAGACTTGTCCCAAATGAAGACAGGCAGCTGGGTGAGCTCGGCCGATCAGCAGCTCGGCACGGACAAGCAAAGCGCAAGGGGCCGCGCAGGGAAGCAGCTTCGCACAGCCAGCAGTTCAGCGTCCATCACCGTGCTGCAGCAGCTCCTGGCATCCACACCAGAGGCCTGGTGAGAGCCGGCGCTCAAAGCAGCAGCCCTGAGCCCAGCTCCGCCACTCCAACAGCACAACGGGGCTGCTTCACGTCACCAGCACCGCCCTGAGATGGAGCCCGCGTGGCAACCCGCAGACAGATCCGCTCCGAGCAAGGGAACGCTCGGCCCTCTCCCTCACCACCACCGACCCCTCGCAGCAGCAGCAGGCGGGCGGCCCTCAGCCCGCGCATCACCTTAGCGCCGCTCCTCAGCCAAGCTCCCGCCGCCGCCATGCCGGCCCGCTGCCCGCCCCCTCCGCGCTGTCTCGCGAGACTTCGGAGAGGCGGGGAGGGGGGCCGCCGGGCGGCACAACAAACATGGCGGTGGCGGCAGCAAGGGGCGGCCGCGGCGCGGGGCGGCGGCGGTGAGTGGGGGCTGCCAGCTCCGCGGCCGTGAGGCGGGCTCCTGAGGCGGGCTGCTGGCCGAGCGCCGGGCCGTGCAGCTGAGGGGCGGGCGGAGGGGTGAAGCAGCGCAGCCACCTCACGCAGGGCAGGTCGGCGGTTGAGGCGGACGCTTCCCGGGCCGGTTGGCGCTGAGGCGGCGGTGCTGTGGGGATGGAGCCCCGCGCTGTGGGAGCTGCCGGCTCGGGGCCTTCCGCCTCCGTTCGTATTATACGGGAGAAGATGAGGTTGTGACAGGCGGCTCTTCTGCCACACCCCTTTTTTTTTTTTTCTTCCTTTCTGATTCCTTAAAAGTAAATGGGACGCGGGTGTGTGCTGTTAGTCCTGTCACGCTGTTCTCCTACAGCCGCAGTTCCTGAAGTATGATGTGTTGGTGGGTTGGGTTTTTTTGAACTAAATACAATTTACTGATGATTTTGTGGCGTCTGAATGGTTTCTCGTGGCAGAGTCGTGGGGAGAGCTGGGAGCAGCCTGCAGGGCTGTGCCATACACAGACAGTGGGTCTGCTGCAGCACCCCTAGGGGAAATGGTGTCAGACCAAAGAAGGGGAGATTCAGGCTGGATATAAGGGAAATGTTCACTATAAGGTTGGTGAGGCACTGGTCAGGTTGCCCAAGAAATGGCCTTGCCCCATCCCTGCAGGCACCCAAGGTCAGGGGATGGGATCTGAGCACCTGATGGAGCTGTGGGTGTCCCTGTGCACTGCAAGGCTCTGTGCCTTCCACTGAAGCGTATTTTGCTTGGATGAAAACTTAGTATCTAGAGACTGGGACGCAGGTGTGGGTAACTCTTTGAAAGGGTAGATAACAGCAGGACAAGGGGAAATGGTTTTAAGTTGAGGGAGAGAAGATTTAGGTTGGATGTCAGGGAGAAGTTCTTTACTGTGAGAGTGGTGAGGTGCTGCACAGGCTGCCCAGTGAGGCTGTGGATGCCCCATCCCTGGAGGTGTTCAAGGCCAGATTGGATGGGGCCCTGGGCAGCCTGGTCTAGTATTAAATGTGGAGGTTGGTGGCCCTACATGTGGCAGGGGGGTTGGAGATTCATGATCCTTGAGGTCCCTTCCAACCCTGCCCATTCTGTGATTCTGTGAAGAGGGTTCAAGTCCTACAGCAGTTTGTCCACCATAAGCCTGGCAAGTAGCACTGCAACCAATGCTACGTGGAACAACAGTGTAGCAAGCCAATAATCCACATTCTGCTCAGAGCTATAGAAGGTATGGTTGCCTGTGAAAACCTTTACAGGGAAAAAAGAGAAAGTGTCTGATGTGCTCAGCTCATTCGAGTACATGAAATGTGAGCTGCTCTGCTCAGGTTCTAATAATTAAAGTTGCATTTACTAGTATGTGATAGTCTGACCTACTATCATTCTTCCCTGGAAAGGAGAGCTGTAAGGCATGTATCTGCTGTAAAACAAACTCTCTCAGAGAAGGTTCTTTTGTGTATAAAGAGATAGAGGTTTGTTGTCAAATTGTGGCAATTTACCTATGCTAAAATGAAAAAGAATGCTACACCCGCTTGAGTTGGTGACATAGAGAAAGGAGAACCCCCCAAAACATTATATTTTCCCAGTCTAATTTCTTAACTTGCTAGAAGGAAGCCTGGTCATCACTGTACCACATTGTCCTGTATACCCCTTTCATATCTATAATTCATGTCTTGATGTCCTTCTTTTTTTCCCTCACTGCAGGAGACACCAACAAATAGAACACAAATTGACCTAAGCTTACATCAGGCTGGTGACATCAAAAAAGAAAGGTATGCAAAATTGATATGTGATGATGTGGTCAAAACTAATAGAACAGTGTTAACGACAACTGTTACAGAGGTGTGAAATGGATACAAAAGGTGAATTAATGCTTGCAAATAATTTTAAAAAGGCAGGAGAATGTTTGTTGTTGAATATGGTTTTGAATTCATAACTTGAGTTTTCATAGCTTACCTAGTGTTTTATGTAGTAACTATTGGAAAACAATGATGTTCTTATGGAAAAAGTAGCACAGTAAATGATGCTGATTATAATCTGCTGGATCAGTAATGTGACAGGCCCGTTTGCCTCTTTCCACTTGAGCCTGACTTCTGTATTCACAAATTCATTGCAAATTAAGGCTTTAAAGATTTGTCATGTACAGTCCCAGAAAAAAAGCATGACAAGTCACTTCTGGTGAATATTTTTATTCTTTCAATGCATACTAATTAAGTGGATTAAGACCACTGCAGAACAGGAAGCTAAGATTTTGGGATGAAAGAAACACTACTTTCTCCAAGGCTTTTTTTCTGTCCTAGTTCTGTAGTCACTCCCCAACGTGAGACAGCAAAACAGATGCTATGGCAGAATTATCAGTCTCTGGTTTCTTTGGAACCATTTCTTCACTGGAAACAATATTCAAACTATCAGGTACATGGAATTGTCCTCTGGTGAGATAGATAAAGCAGATGAAACTTTGTAATGCTTTTACTGGCAATGCTGAATGCTAATAGAATGTATAGCACTAGAATATTAGAATTTGTTCTCCAAAACATATATAATTTTTTCAAGCTGCTTTCTTACAACCCATGGAGGTTGGGAAGAATAATGTATTTCTTTCTTCTCTTTATTTTTTATTATTTTTTCCCTTTCAGAGAAGTGGGGAATCTCTGCTCTTTGTTTTGTCTGACATAACAGGAGTACATTTTTGGGCATGCTCCCCATTCAGTAGGAAACTAAAGTTCAGGTACAATCAATTAGGGAAAATAAATAGAGCATAGAGTCATAGAAACACCAAGGTTGCAAAAGACCTACAAGATCATCCAGTCCAACCATCTACATATCATAAATAGTTCTCACTAAACCATGTCCCTCTACACAGCATCTAAATGTTCCTTGAACACCTCCAGGGTCGGTGACTCTGCCACCTCCCTGGGCAGCCCATTCCAGCACCTGACCACTCTTTCAGAAAAGCAGTATTTCCTCACAACCAGCCTGAATTTACCCTAATGCAACTTGAGGCCATTCCTTCTAGTCCTATCACCAGTTACACAAGAGAAGAGGCCGACCCCCAGTTCATTACAACCTCCCTTCAGGTAGTTACGGAGAGCATTGAGGTCTCCCAAGCCTGCTTTTCTGCAGACTGAACAATCCCAGCTCCTTCAGCTGCTCCTCACAAGGCCTGTGCTCCAGACCTCTCACAGCTTAGTTGCCCTACTCTCCAGGGCCTTGACGTCTTTCTTGGAGAGGGGTCCAAAACTGAGCACAGTACTTGAGGTGCAGCCTCACCAGTGCTGAATACAGAGGGACAATTACTTTCCTGCTCCTTCTAGCAACGCTATTTCTGATACAAGCCAGGATGCCATGGGCCTTCTTGGCCACCTGGGCACACTGCTGGCTCACCAATTGACCAATACCCCCAGGTCCATTTCCTGTACACAGTCTTCCAGCCACCTTGCCCCAAGCCTGTAGCATTGCCTAGGGTTGCGGTAGCTATAGTGAAGGACCTGGCACTTAGTCTTCTTGAACCGCATCGCATTGGCTGCAGCTCAGCCATCCAGATCCCTCTGTAGGGCCTTGCTACCTCCAGGCAGATTGACACTGCCACGTTGGTGTCATCTGCAAACTTTGAGGGTGCACTCCATGCCCTCGTCCAGGTCATCAGTAAAGATGTTGAAGAGGACAGGCCTCAACACTGACCTCTGGGAAATACCACTCATGACTGGTCACCAACTGGATTTAACTCCATTCAGCACCACTCTCTGGGCCCAGCCCTCCAGCCAGCTCCTTACCCAGCAAAGATGTACCTGTCCAAGCCATGGGCTGCCAGCTTCTCCCTTCTTCCATGGGAGGTAGATTCTCTTTTTCTCTTGGAGCCTCAGGAAAAGCTCCCTGTCCATCCTTCTTCCCCACTGGCTCATCTTGTAGCTCAGGGGGATAGATAGCCTGTTCCTGCACCTTTCAGACTTCTTTCCTGAGGAGAGACTAGCCTTCCCAGACCCCTTTACCCACCAAGACTGAATCCCAAGGGACCCTCTGTACTAGTCTCCTGAACAATATGAAATCTTCTCTCTGGAATTCCAAGGTAGCAGTTTTGCTGTCCCCTCCCCATGGCTCCACCAAGAATTGAGAACTCTACCACTTCATGGTCACTCTGTCCAAGGACAGCTCCAACCTCCACATCTCCTACCAGATCTTCTCTATGAACAGCAGGTCTAGCAGGGCACCTCCCCTGCTGGGCTCTCACCAGCTGCAGAAGGAAGCTATCTTCCACACACTCTAAAAACTTAATAGACTGCTTCTTCTGTGCTGTGTTGTATTCCCAGCATAGATCAGGGAAGTTGAAGTTCCCCATGAGAACAAGGGCTGGTGACCATACAGCTTCTGCCAGCTGCTCATAGAGCACCTCATCTGTCTTTTCATCCTGGTTAGGTAGTCTATAAAAGACCCCCATCAGGATGTCCGCCTTGTCAGCCCTTCCCCTGATCCTTACCCATAGGGATTCAACATTATCCTCCCCAGCCACAAGCTCAATAACATCAAAACACTCTCTAACATAGAGAACCACACCACCACACCTCCTTCCTTACATTTCCTTTCTGAAGGGCTTGTAGCCATCCATTGCAGCACTCCAGCCATGGGAGCAATGTTTCTGTAATGGCAACTCAGGCATAGTTTGCCTGCCTCACAATGGCTTCCATTTCCTCCTGTTTGTTGCCTATGCTGCACGCACTGGTGTAGATGCGATTCAGCTGAGCCCCTTGCCCCATCCCTAATCCCATTATCACTTCCCTAGGCTCATCTCTAGCAGGCCTGGTTTTAATTCCTTCCCCCTTCATATTTAAAGCCCTCTCCACAAGCCCTGCTAGCTCCTGGGCAAGGATCGTTTCTCCCTTTGAGACAGGTGATACCCATCA